AACACAGTCACGCCATGGGGACCCATTTCCTTAGGAGGACCAAAAACCAGGTCCCCATAAGGAAAACCATTTAGATGAATGGGGGAGCTGTTTAGAAGGTGCTGGGCAAAGTTTTAGAGAAGGCTCGTAAGTGATGTTTAATGTGTGTGTTGTGGTTGCTCATTGGCACCTCTGGTGGTAATGACTGGTAAGACACATTGGTTTCCACACACACTTTGCATATATAATTAAGTACCGCCCACATCCTGGTCCCCAAGAGTGATGATCTTGGAATCAACTGTTTTCAGCTGCTTTCAAATGCAACAGACAGGTAAGCATAATTTGCAATCATTTTAGAACAAATATTGTATATATGCATGTTATTTAATAGCAACCAAGTTATTGCTAATTCACTTTTGTGGCCTGAATTGCTGTGGTTTTAATGTACAGACTAATGCAACTGGTTCGAGCTAGCATTGGCAACTTGTTGGAGCTAGCATTAGCAACTAGCTTGGACAGCAGATTCTACCAAACAGCACATGGGTCAATGTTCCCTTCTAAAAGGACATTCAGATGGCGAACAGTTGTCTTCGCAGTAAACGAGTGGTGACTAAATTACATAAGTAGAGCTTCTTATGTACTAGAAGTAGCTAGCTAGGAAGTTAGCACCGATTTTTGCTAACAAGCTAGTGTCAGAGTAAACAGGCTAAAGAATCTGAGTACTCTTTGCTGGTAGCTATACTAAAGACTGTATCTGTTCAATGCTCATGCAAAACGAATAAACTGTGTAATAAGTACAGATTCAGTGATTTACTTTGCATGGTTTCCCTTTTTAAGCAAGATTAGATGTGATTTTAATATACAACCTGTTAGCATTAGCAACTAGCTCGTATAGTAATCAACTTGTGTGTGGTACTTTCAAGAAGCAACTAAAGGTTTCTCAGTACATATACAGGCTCTGAATGATACAACTAAAGCTTTCTATGTAATAGCAGTAACCTATAGTGGCTTTACTTATTAAGAAGTAGTTTGCAGTTTAGTTTTATTTTAAGAATTAAGTGGGTCAAATAGCAGAAATATTTAATTTCTTCAAGTAGAAAGGAAAAAGAAAAGTTACTGAAGTACTGGATGAATATATTAATTGAGTACCTGACTAAATGTTGAAAGTAAAGGTTTGATTTGTAATTATGTATTAAAATATATTAGATATAGAAGATATTTGGAAGTAATATAGTAGAAACAGCTGTACCAAACCTACAGATAAAATAAATTACAAATGTAATAGAATTGTTTCAAAAAATGACTCAAGTGAAATCATAATTATGCATTCTGTTGTTTCAGTTTTTGATGATTTAAATGGCACCACGAATTAGCCCAGAAAAACCTCTGTCTGTGGGGTTTGAAAATTTAGCTGAAAAAGCTGTCTCTGTATTATATAATTTGAATTGATAAATATAGGTAAGCTTTGAGTATGTAAGCTTGGTGATTGTAGCACTATACTGTATAATGTATGTGCATATAGTATGTGTTTAAAAGTTTTTATATATCAATATATATATTTCTTTTTTTTCAGCATTGATGCTTCAGTACAAGATGGCACATTTGGGCGTATTGTTAATGATGACCACATCCACCCAAATTGTAAGATGAAAAGAAGCATTACGAGACAAAAAAGGAGAAGAAATTACTTATGATTATGGTGGAGATAACACCATAACACTGACGCAGGAAAAGTCTCAGTTCTTATCCTGTTAGATTTAAGTGCTGCTTTCGACACTGTCGATCATGGTATCCTCATTCAGAGACTTGAGGACTGGGTTGGTGTTTCTGGAACAGCCCTAAGCTGGTTTATATCCTACCTACAGGACAGAAAGTATTTTGTGGAGATCGGAAACTGTATCTCAGACCATCTGGCCCTAACCTGCGGAGTGCCACAGGGATCAATCCTGGGGCCTCTCCTGTTTAATATTTACATGCTGCCTCTGGGTAGGTTAATACACAGTAATAACGTGTCCTATCACAATTATGCTGACGATACTCAGGTCTATGTGTCCCTGACAGCAGGAGAACATGGACCAGTGGACTCGCTCCTTCACTGTATCCAACAAATCAGTGATTGGATGCAAAATAACTTTCTCCAGCTAAACACAGAAAAAACTGAAATTATTGTTTTCGGACCTCAAAAACAAAGAGAGAGCGTTATCTGCCACCTCCAGTGTCTCCCTAAAACCCTCAACTCAGGTCAGAAATCTAGGAGTAATAATGGACTCAGACTTAAATTTCAATAGCCACATATCATCTGTGACATCATCAGCTTACTTCCACCTAAGAAACATTGCTAAAATTAAAAACATTGTGTCTAAAGCAGACTTGGAGATTCTTATCCACGCATTTGTCTCCAGTCGATTGGACTACTGCAATGGCTTGTTCACAGTCTCTCTAAACAAGCGGTAAAACAGCTGCAGTACATCCAAAATGCTGCAGCTCGAGTCCTGACTAGAACCAGGAAGTACGACCACATTAGTCCGGTCCTCAGGTCTCTGCACTGGCTTCCTGTGGCTCAGAGAATAGATTTTAAAGTAGCTTTACTTGTGTACAAGTCTCTCCATGGCCTCGCACCAGGGTACATCCGCGACATGTTGGTGCCATATGAACCAACTCGGGCTCTGAGGAGCACAGGGACTGGACTTCTGTTAGTGCCAAGAGTCGGAACTAGACATGGGGAGGCTGCGTTTCAGATTCATGCAGCTAGAGTCTGGAACCGTCTTTCCGAGAGTGTGAGACAGGCGTCTACTCTAGCAGTTTTTAAAACTGAACTGAAAACAGTTCTTTTTAGCTGTGCATACAAGTGAATGATTTTATATTTGTTTTTATCTTTAATCTTTTTAATGCGCTATGATTATTTATGATTATTTATGATTGTAATCCCTTTGTGATTTTAATGTTTTACGGTTTTTAACTACTTGTGTGATTTTATATATCTTGTGCTCTTAATCTGTCTTTTTATGTTTACTTAAATTCTAATGTTTGATGATTTATGCATGATGTTATATGGGTTGTGAGGCGCTTTGCGTTGCCTTGTGTAGGAAAGGCGCTCTATAAATAAACGTTGATTGATTGATTGAGATGACTGCCCATGGAGAGAAAGAGTATGTCACAAACACACGCTTAAAATAATTGCTTATTTCTAACCTAATACAAAGAATGCCCTTTCAGTTACTGCTATTGACTTGAACTATGTTTGAAAGTTTGTTTCATTGGTCCCCATAAAGAATGAATGGAAGTGTGTGAAATGGCCTCCTATGGTGGTGATTTTACATTGTATGATTGTTTTAGTTATGACTTGGAGCTTGGAGTTTTCTGCTATAGACAAGGCTTTAGGTAGACTTCAGGAAGTCTAGTTTAGACCTTTATAAACCCTGATTCTCCACTGTGAGATCAATTAAGTTTCTCTTATCTTGTTTCATGGTGATCCAGACCTGGTGGTACATTTCAGTATTTTATAACATGGGGCTTGGTTGGAAAAATTGGAGCACTGTTTTAGACTTATAGATTATTATAGTGTTCTATTGTAAAGTCTTATACCTTCTGTCTCCCACAGATGACCCACGTGTCAGCAGATGGCTTTACAACAGGCTTTCTTGATCATTCTGACCATTCTTTGTCAGTTCTGAGCAAGCTTTTTAACATTTGAAGTCAATTATATAAGATTTGTTATGTTTAACTCATTTAACTATATTCAGTAAGTAGATAAGTGGAAGTAGAATATTTTTAGCCTTTTTCAAATGAACCATCACAATGTCCCCATAATAAATTGAGTGACTTCTGTTGAGTTTAATCATGTGTGAAAGTCTGTTGAAATGGTCCCCTAAAGAAGGAATAGAAGTGTTTGAAATGGTCCTAAAAAGGTCCCCATAACGCACTAGGAGTGACTGATGATGAGTGGAATTGTTTGTGAAAGTTCATTGAATTGGTCCCCATGAAGGAATTGAGAGGGGTGTGAAAAGGTCCTCATGAGACGTGTTCCAGACTCTAGATGTGTGTGTGTACAAACAAGTTGGGTTTACATCTGTCAAACTATGATTTGTGTACTGCTGGTAATACTTGGGCCCCCTTGGGTGGTTCTTTAAATTTAAATTTGTGATCTCTGTTCTAGACCATGATTATTTTAGTGTTTTATTATAAATCCTTATACCTTATGTCTCCCACGGATGACCCATGTGACAGCAGATGGCTCAACTACAGGTTTTCTTGATCATTCTGACCAGCCTCAGTGCCACATGAATATGTCATTTGGAAACGATTGCCTATCAGATTAAGGTAAGATCATATTTATCAATCATGACAAAATACCAGAGGTTCTTTGTCAGTTCTGAAATGTTTTTATAACATCTGAAGTCAATTATCTTAGATTTGTTATGTGTCACTCGTTAAACTATATTCAGTAAGTGGAATTGTCGAAGGAGAGTATTTTTTACCTTTTTTGGTCATGGCAGACGAGAACTTTTTACTCAAATGTTTCTTTAAATTGAACTCTCCCGATGTCCCCATAATACACTTTGAGTGACTTCTATTAAACATGTGTGAAAGTCCATTGAATTGGTCCCCGTAAAGGAGGAATGGAAGTGTGTGAAATGACCATCAAAATGTCCCCATAACACACTTTGAGTGACTGCTGATGAGTTGAACCGTGTGTGAAAGTCCATTGAATTGGTCCCCATGAAGGAATGGGGCGGGGGTGTGAAAAGGTCCTCATGAGGCATGTCCCCGACCATAGATGTGTGTATGTGCAAATAAGTTTGTTTTAAATCTGTCAATCTATGATTTGTGAACTGCTGGTAGTACTTTGGCCTTCTTGGGTGGTTATATTAAATTAAATTTGTGATCTCTGTTTGAGATGGTGATTATTATAGTGTGTTATTGTAAATCCTCATACCTTCTGTTTCCCACAGATGACCCACGTGACAGCAGATTGCACTACTCCAGGTTCTGTTGATCATTCTGACCAGCCTCAGTGCCACATGAATACGTCATTTGCAAACGATGCCCCTCAGAAACAGGTAGGATAATTTTTATCAATCATGACAAAATACCAGAGGTTCTTTGTCAGTTCTGAAAAGGTTTTATAACATTTGAAGTCAATTATCTTAGATTTGTTTTGTGTCACTCATTAAACTATATTCAGTAAGTGGAATAGTGGAAGGAGAATACTTTAAGCCTTTTTTGGTCTTTGCAGACAAGGACTTTTTACTTAAATGTTTCTTTCAAATTAACCCTCACGATGTCCCCATAAAACACTTTGAGTGACTTCTATTAAACATGTGTGAAAGACCATTGAATTGGTCCCCGTAAAGGAGGAATGGAAGTGTGTGAAATGGTCATCAAAATGTCCCCATAACACACTTTGAGTGACTGCTGATGAGTTGAACCGTGTGTGAAAGTCCATTGAATTGGTCCCCATGAAGGAATGGGGCGGGGGTGTGAAAAGGTCCTCATGAGACATGTCCCCGACCCTAGATGTGTGTATGTGTAAATACGTTTGTTTTACATCTGTCAAACTATGATTTGTGTACTTCTGGTAGTAATTTGGCCTTCTTGGGTGGTTCTATTAAATTAAATTTGTGGTCTCTGTTTAAGACGGTGATTATTCAAGTGTTTTATAGTAAATCCTCATACCTTCTGATTCACACAGATGACCCACGTGACAGCAGATTGCACTACTCCAGGTTCTGTTGATCATTCTGACCAGCCTCAGTGCCACATGAATATGTCATTTGCAAATGATACCCCTCAGAAACAGGTAGGATAATTTGTATCAATCATGACAAAATTCCAGAGGTTCTTTGTCAGTTCTGAGAAAGCTTTTCAACATTTGAAGTCATTTGTATAAGATTTGTCATGTGTAACTCATTAAACTATATTCAGTAAGTGGAATAGTGGAAGGAGAATACTTTAAGCCTTTTTTTGTCATTGCAGACAAGGACTTTTTACTTAAATGTTTCTTTCAAATGAACCCTCACGATGTCCCCATAAAACACTTTGAGTGACTTCTATTAAACATGTGTGAAAGTCCATTGAATTGGTCCCCGTAAAGGAGGAATGGAAGTGTGTGAAATGGCCATCAAAATGTCCCCATAACACACTTTGAGTGACTGCTGATGAGTTGAACCGTGTGTGAAAGTCCATTGAATTGGTCCCCATGAAGGAATGGGGCGGGGGTGTGAAAAGGTCCTCATGAGGCATGTCCCCGACCCTAGATGTGTGTATGTGCAAATAAGTTTGTTTTACATCTGTCAAACTATGATTTGTGTACTTCTGGTAGTACTTTGGCCTTCTTGGGTGGTTCTATTAAATTAAATTTGTGATCTCTGTTTAAGACGGTGATTATTCAAGTGTTTTATAGTAAATCCTCATACCTTCTGATTCACACAGATGACCCACGTGACAGCAGATTGCACTACTCCAGGTTCTGTTGATCATTCTGACCAGCCTCAGTGCCACATGAATACGTCATTTGCAAACGATGCCCCTCAGAAACAGGTAGGATAATTTTTATCAATCATGACAAAATTCCAGAGGTTCTTTGTCAGTTCTGAGAAAGCTTTTCAACATTTGAAGTCATTTGTATAAGATTTGTCATGTGTAACTCATTAAACTATATTCAGTAAGTGGAATAGTGGAAGGAGAATACTTTAAGCCTTTTTTTGTCATTGCAGACAAGGACTTTTTACATAAATGTTTCTTTCAAATGAACCCTCACGATGTCCCCATAAAACACTTTGAGTGACTTCTATTAAACATGTGTGAAAGTCCATTGAATTGGTCCCCGTAAAGGAGGAATGGAAGTGTGTGAAATGGTCATCAAAATGTCCCCATAACACACTTTGAGTGACTGCTGATGAGTTGAACCGTGTGTGAAAGTCCATTGAAATGGTCCCCATGAAGGAATGGGGCGGGGGTGTGAAAAGGTCCTCATGAGACATGTCCCCGACCCTAGATGTGTGTATGTGTAAATACGTTTGTTTTACATCTGTCAAACTATGATTTGTGTACTTCTGGTAGTACTTTGGCCTTCTTGGGTGGTTCTATTAAATAAAATTTGTGATCTCTGTTTAAGACGGTGATTATTCAAGTGTTTTATAGTAAATCCTCATACCTTCTGATTCACACAGATGACCCACGTGACAGCAGATTGCACTACTCCAGGTTCTGTTGATCATTCTGACCAGCCTCAGTGCCACATGAATACGTCATTTGCAAATGATGCCCCTCAGAAACAGGTAGGATAATTTGTATCAATCATGACAAAATTCCAGAGGTTCTTTGTCAGTTCTGAGAAAACTTTTCAACATTTGAAGTCATTTGTATAAGATTTGTCATGTGTAACTCATTAAACTATATTCAGTAAGTGGAATAGTGGAAGGAGAATACTTTAAGCCTTTTTTGGTCATTGCAGACAAGGACTTTTTACCTAAATGTTTCTTTCAAATGAACCCTCACGATGTCCCCATAAAACACTTTGAGTGACTTCTATTAAACATGTGTGAAAGTCCATTGAATTGGTCCCCGTAAAGGAGGAATGGAAGTGTGTGAAATGGCCATCAAAATGTCCCCATAACACACTTTGAGTGACTGCTGATGAGTTGAACCGTGTGTGAAAGTCCATTGAATTGGTCCCCATGAAGGAATGGGGTGGGGGTGTGAAAAGGTCCTCATGAGACATGTCCCCGACCCTAGATGTGTGTATGTGCAAATAAGTTTGTTTTACATCTGTCAAAATATGATTTGTGGACTTCTGGTAGTACTTTGGCCTTCTTGGGTGGTTCTATTAAATTAAATTTGTGATCTCTGTTTAAGACGGTGATTATTATAGTGTTTTATAGTAAATCCTCATACCTTCTGATTCACACAGATGACCCACGTGACAGCAGATTGCACTACTCCAGGTTCTGTTGATCATTCTGACCAGCCTCAGTGCCACATGAATACGTCATTTGCAAACGATGCCCCTCAGAAACAGGTAGGATAATTTGTATCAATCATGACAAGATTCCAGAGGTTCTTTGTCAATTCTGAGAAAGCTTTTTAACATTTGAAGTCATTTGTATAAGATTTTTCATGTGTAACTCATTAAACTATATTCAGTAAGTGGAAAAGAAGGAGAATACTTTAAGCCTTTTTTGGTCATTGCAGACAAGGACTTTTTACTTAAATGTTTCTTTCAAATGAACCCTCACGATGTCCCCATAAAACACTTCTGTTGAGTTTAATCATGTGTGAAAGTCCATTGAAACGGTCCCCGTAAAGAAGGAATGGAAGTGTGTGAAATAGCCCTCACAATGTCCCCATAGCACACCTGGAGTGACTGCTGATGAGTTGATCAGTGTGTGAAAGTCAATTGAATTGGTCCCCCATGAAGGAATTGAGAGGGGTGTGAAAAGGTCCTCATGAGACGTGTCCCCAACCCTAGATGTGTGTATGTACAAACAAGTTGGTTTTACATCAGTCAAACTATGATTTGTGTACTGCTGGTAGTATTTGGGACTGCTTGAGTGGTCTTTTGATTTTAATTTGTAATCACTGTTTTAGACGGTGATTATTTTAGTGTTCAATTGTAAATCCTCATACCTTCTGTCTCCCACAGATGACACTTATACCACAGATTTTTTGATCATTCTGACCAGCCTCAGTCCCACATGAATACGTCATTTGGAAACGATGCCAATCAGAAACAAGTAGGATCCTATTCATCAATCATGACAAAATACCAGAGATTCCTTGTCAGTCCTGAGAAAGCTTTTTTAACCTTTGAAGACAATTATACAATATTTGTTATGTGTAAGTCATTTAACTATATTCAGTAAATGGATAGTGGAAGAGTGGATGAGTGAGTTCTGTTGAGTTTAATTTGTGTGTGAGTCCGTTGAATTGGTCCCCATAAATAAGGAATGGAGTGGGGTGTGAAAAGGTCCTCAAGAGAAGTGTTGTCGTTTTTTGTCTTGTTTGTTTATATTAGTTTTTTTTTATTTACAGATTCTTGCACAGCACACATGGGAAGTCGATTATGTACCAAAACTGATAAGGACAAAAAGTGTCATAGTAAGTCAGTACAAAATGTACCTATAAAACTTGTTATCATCCAGTGAAGTTAAATGTGTCATTCATTTATTTTGTAAGTATTTTTTTTCAATGAATTGCATTCTGACTGTTTTTTTTTTTACTTTTTTGGAATTCTTAGTTGTTAAAATGTTTTTTCTTGTTTTATTCAGATGAAAGACACAAATCATCTTGACTGTGAGTTTTATGATTCTACAATGGATAGTTCAGACAACTATGTCCCAGATACCTCGTCTGATTCAGAAAGTGATAGTGATCCAAACTTCGTCATGAAACAAAATTACAACTCATTCTTGATGATTCTATCCCTGCAAACAATCTTGAATGGGACTTCACAACTTCATTCAAGATGCTAAGATGTGTTTCAGCTGAAACATCTTCTGCAGTTGAACTCAGTTCAAGTCAGGCCACTACAAATATGGCTGTTAAAGGAATAGTTCACCGTTTTTACATACTGACATATGTTCTTACCTTACCTTAGACTAGTTAATACGTACCTGTGTGATCTTAGTCCGTGCGCTCTGTCATGCAAACGGAGCAAAAACGGGAGGACAAATGCAGCCTCCTCTGTATACTGTGTAGCACCAAAAGGTAGCTCCCGCTAGAAGCTACCAAACTCTTCCAAGTGTTCCCTATTAAATGTATATAGTTACGTGACGTGTTACACTGCAAAGTATAGTAACACAGAAATGTAACTGTCGATTTTCTCAGCGGATAAAACGGGTACTATATTGTGAGGCGTAGTAATCTGAGGAGCGCTACGTCCGCGCACTAACTTCTCTCTGTACTACAAGTCACGCTGCTTCTATTGACGGAAGTGAGCGAGAGAGAAGTCTCCGGACAGAAGTTAGTGCGCGGACGTAGCGCTCCTCAGATTACTACGCCTCACAATATAGTACCCGTTTTATCCGCTGAGAAAATCGACAGTTACATTTCTGTGTTACTATACTTTGCAGTGTAACACGTCACGTAACTATATACATTTAATAGGGAACACTTGGAAGAGTTTGGTAGCTTCTAGCGGGAGCTACCTTTTGGTGCTACACAGTATACAGAGGAGGCTGCATTTGTCCTCCCGTTTTTGCTCCGTTTGCATGACAGAGCGCACGGACTAAGATCACACAGGTACGTATTAACTAGTCTAAGGTAAGGTAAGAACATATGTCAGTATGTAAAAACGGTGAACTATTCCTTTAAGGCATACAACAAAAATGGTGTACAAAGAATATATGAAAAGACATTTTTTTGCTCTGCATTTGAAGCAAAATGTGCTTTCATCAAGAAATAAGCTGTTCACAATCCTAGCAATAAAAAATATAAAATTGGTTAATAAAGGCACATTTACAAAGACAGTCTGTGCATTCTTTGGCCTTAACATTGTACTTATTAGATTTACAAAGGGTCCCCATGAGTAAATTATAAAAGTGTGTGAATTATGCAAAAAATATGCAAATCTGGTCCTTCTAAGTGACATTGACTCGTTTTTTTATAGGTCCCCACAGTACACTGCCAGAATATCATTTCATCAATTGACACATTTTAAGATGTGTATATGCTTACAATGTTTTGTTAAGTAACTCAATTTTTTTTATGACTCTAGAACCTCTAGAAAGGGTGGTCCCCACATGTGATGATTTGAAACCTGGTCCCCATCAAGAATGGAAACCAGTATGTGTGTGTGTGTGTGTGTGTGTGTGTTCTTGTAATCATCACGTTGTGGGGACTGAAATCTGTTAACACAGTCACGCCATGGGGACCCATTTCCTTAGGAGGACCAAAAACCAGGTCCCCATAAGGAAAACCATTTAGATGAATGGGGGAGCTGTTTAGAAGGTGCTGGGCAAAGTTTTAGAGAAGGCTCGTAAGTGATGTTTAATGTGTGTGTTGTGGTTGCTCATTGGCACCTCTGGTGGTAATGACTGGTAAGACACATTGGTTTCCACACACACTTTGCATATATAATTAAGTACCGCCCACATCCTGGTCCCCAAGAGTGATGATCTTGGAATCAACTGTTTTCAGCTGCTTTCAAATGCAACAGACAGGTAAGCATAATTTGCAATCATTTTAGAACAAATATTGTATATATGCATGTTATTTAATAGCAACCAAGTTATTGCTAATTCACTTTTGTGGCCTGAATTGCTGTGGTTTTAATGTACAGACTAATGCAACTGGTTCGAGCTAGCATTGGCAACTTGTTGGAGCTAGCATTAGCAACTAGCTTGGACAGCAGATTCTACCAAACAGCACATGGGTCAATGTTCCCTTCTAAAAGGACATTCAGATGGCGAACAGTTGTCTTCGCAGTAAACGAGTGGTGACTAAATTACATAAGTAGAGCTTCTTATGTACTAGAAGTAGCTAGCTAGGAAGTTAGCACCGATTTTTGCTAACAAGCTAGTGTCAGAGTAAACAGGCTAAAGAATCTGAGTACTCTTTGCTGGTAGCTATACTAAAGACTGTATCTGTTCAATGCTCATGCAAAACGAATAAACTGTGTAATAAGTACAGATTCAGTGATTTACTTTGCATGGTTTCCCTTTTTAAGCAAGATTAGATGTGATTTTAATATACAACCTGTTAGCATTAGCAACTAGCTCGTATAGTAATCAACTTGTGTGTGGTACTTTCAAGAAGCAACTAAAGGTTTCTCAGTACATATACAGGTTCTGAATGATACAACTAAAGCTTTCTATGTAATAGCAGTAACCTATAGTGGCTTTACTTATTAAGAAGTAGTTTGCAGTTTAGTTTTATTTTAAGAATTAAGTGGGTCAAATAGCAGAAATATTTAATTTCTTCAAGTAGAAAGGAAAAAGAAAAGTTACTGAAGTACTGGATGAATATATTAATTGAGTACCTGACTAAATGTTGAAAGTAAAGGTTTGATTTGTAATTATGTATTAAAATATATTAGATATAGAAGATATTTGGAAGTTAATAATATAGTAGAAACAGCTGTACCAAACCTACAGATAAAATAAATTACAAATGTAATAGAATTGTTTCAAAAAATGACTCAAGTGAAATCATAATTATGCATTCTGTTGTTTCAGTTTTTGATGATTTAAATGGCACCACGAATTAGCCCAGAAAAACCTCTGTCTGTGGGGTTTGAAAATTTAGCTGAAAAAGCTGTCTCTGTATTATATAATTTGAATTGATAAATATAGGTAAGCTTTGAGTATGTAAGCTTGGTGATTGTAGCACTATACTGTATAATGTATGTACTATATGTGTTTAAAAGTTTTTATATATCAATATATATATTTCTTTTTTTTCAGCATTGATGCTTCAGTACAAGATGGCACATTTGGGCGTATTGTTAATGATGACCACATCCACCCAAATTGTAAGATGAAAAGAAGCATTACGAGACAAAAAAGAAGGAGAAGACACTGCCTCGGAGACATTAAAGCTCCGTCTCCACCAGCTCTACTCTACCTGGTCGTGTTTCCATTACACTTTAGCATCCTGGGGAAATTCCTGGGTAACCATGGCTCCCAGCAGTACCTGGATAGAACCAGGACCAAGAGGGGCTAAAGAAGGACCTGATACTGGTTAAAGAGGACCAGAGGAAACACTCCCATTCATGGGACAGTAGAGCAGAGTAGAGTGGGGTAGAGTAGGGTAGAGTAGGGTACGGTAGGGTAGGGTAGAGAATAGCTAGTAGAGTAGAGTACGGTAGAGTACGGTAGGGTAGAGTAGAGTAGAGTACGGTAGAGTAGAGTGGAGTAGAGTACGGTAGAGTACGGTAGGGTAGAGCAGAGTAGAGTACGGTAGAGTAGAGTGGAGTAGAGTAGGGTAGGGTAGGGTACGGTAGAGTAGAGTAGAGTAAGTATTTTCACTTGGAATCATTTAAGTAGAACCCATTTAGAAAGCCATGACAAAACTAAACAATACTTTTGTTTGAAAAGGTAGAAAATCACAGAAAATGAGAATTTGTCCTGGTGGAACACGTTTGTAAACAAAGCATTTGGACAGAAGGGTGCGGGGGTGAGTGACAGACATGACTAATATTATCCGTCTGTGGAGGATATGTGCTTTATTCATCCTGAAGAGAATGTTGTAAAAAGAGAGAGAGTAAAAACCACTTCAGAGATCGCAGATTAGCAAAATGAGCAAAGACTCGTCAAAAATACTTTGGTGGAAAACATCTCAAAATAAAGAATCGAGAAAAAATCCAAAGTGAGAGAAGGTGAAGACGAGTGAAAGCAGTCTGGAATGTTTGATCACGGCCCGGATCCAAAAACAGGATCTGAGCAAAAGTCCAGCGCATCACGGAGAGACAGGGAGGAGTCTATAGCAGGTCCCAGGCTCCAGGTCCCAGGCTCCAGGTCCCAGGCTCCAGGTCCCAGGCTCCAGGTCCCAGACTCCAGGTCCCAAACTCCAGGTCCCAGACTCCAGGTTCCAGGCTCCAGGTCCCAGGCTCCAGGTCCCAGGCTCCAGGTCCCAGGCTCCAGGTCCCAGGCTCCAGGTCCCAGGCTCCAGGTCCCAGGCTCCAGGTCCCAGGCTCCAGGTCTGTGTTCCCTTCTGCTCCTGTAAGAGACAGATTGAGAGGTGTAGTTTTAACCACTGTGCTCTGAAACTGTGTCAGTGTGACGTAATTTACTGCTGTGGTTTATGGATGACTAAATGTTGAGGGAGTGAGACTGAAAGGGGGTGATAGTGTGAGGGGTGAGATAGTGAGTGGGTGAGATAGTGAGTGGGTGACAGGGTGAGAGGACGATTGGGTGAGAGTGTGAGGGGTGAGGTGAGGCCGGGAGGGGGTGAGAGTGTGAGGGGGTGAGGTGAGACTGGGAGGGGGTGAGAGTGTGAGGGGGTGAGGTGAGACTGGGAGGGGGTGAGAGTGTGAGGGGGTTGGAAGTTAAAAGGTCTGGTCTGGTATTGTATTGTATTTGTTGTGGACACGGGTCTGCTGGGGAAACTGAAGTGTGCGTGTGAGTGTGTGTGTGTACGTGCGTCTGAGTGTGTGCGTGTGTGTGTGTGTGTGTGTGTTGGGGGCAGGACGTACCATGAGGGGGCGCCGCTCTAAAGGCAGAGGTGGTTCTCCTCTGTGGAGAAGTTGTGCGTTCGCTCCGTCGTCTGCAGAAGAAGAAACAAAATCCATCAATCAGAGCAAAGACACACTTGTCCAGTACTTTTTTAAGCTTGTTTTATTTCTGGACTTTTGCACATGTATTCCAATGTGGTTTTACTGCACACTGAATCTGTTTCTTTTTATTTAAAATCCCCAAAAAGCATTTAAAATTTGTATGTAATTTTTGACGAATTTTACATTTTTCCCAGTCTTTTTTGTGATTATTAAATATAGTCCACCATTAAAAATCTCCCTGGAACTCTTTCTCTGGTTCTAATAATATTGACCTAATTATTACATTAGGTACCTTCTCTGTCTCTGCTTTCCTTCCAAACAGATTTGAGACAACTCCCTTTAGTCCAAACATACATCATTACCATCAGTTTGTGTGTTCAGTCTCTGCTGCTGAGTGACCTTTAGTCTGAGGCAGCAGCAGCACAATCATCAAGTATCGATCAGAGGACAGAGTGCGACATCACCATAGTGCAGGCCCTGACTGATTGATCTGGATTTACAGTCTCAATATCACACATAAACACCAGGATCACAGAATGGTGATGTCACACAAACGGTGACTGAGCGAGAGGAGTTTACTTTTACATGAAAGTCAGTGGAGCCAAACTTCAGCATGAGCACTTCCCTATTGGGATTCAATGAGCTAGCAGGTTAGCCTTGACCATCTGTGCACAGTCTATGCATGGATCTATGATAAGAACTGGGTAGGGTATTACTAGCTTATAGCTGTCCCACCACTGGGCACAGGGGGCGCTGTGGTACTGCAGACTAAAATCATGTGGGCTACCCAGAAAAACGTCCCATAGAACTCAATGTAAATTAAAACAGCTCGACCTCAGCTTACAGAGAACCTGACAGAGAACCTTTAGCTTTCAGAAAGGTCGGATTTTGTGGGGATTTTATTGTCCCTTCTCATCCTGAACTTTTTTTCTTCTTAAATCCTTCAGTTTTCTTTAAATCCACACTTTACTGCCACAAACTCTGCTGTTTTCCATCCCGCTCTGATCAGCTCTGATTGGTCAAAGCGCGGCCGAGCCCCTCTGTGCACGTGCGTGAGAGCCACACACGCGTATTTGGCGCAAAGCATCATGGGAGCTCGTCCACTGCGCAGACCCGGGAGGACCAGACGTTGCCCAAATATGGACGAGTTCCTCTGATATGTCAGTGCCTGTGACGTCCCATGCGCTACTGAGCACAAGCCATTCATTTGAACAGGACGCCATCTTGGATGACCGGGGCTTGAGTCTATGTTAGCATGGTCAAGACAGTGGGAGGTGTTGTTGTTTCATCGGCAAAAAGACTGAAGACTTAGTTTGGACATGAAACAATAGAAAGAGACATATTGACAAGTCCATGGGATGATAATGAAGAAGCAGTCATCGAACTGAAACAAGGGCGTCGACCTCATTGTGGTCTGGAACCGAATAAACAGACTAGAAACTGGTCGGGGGCCGAAAGAAAAGGGATTGTCTTTTCTTTTAATTGTTTTTTGACATTTTTCTCAAAACAAAATGAGTCCACTATTTAGATTTAACCAAAATTGGATCGATTATAAAGTTAAACAGTTTTATATTGAACTATTAATCTTCCAATAACGTCCATCCATCCATCCATTTTCTTCCCCTTAATCCATTTCTGGGTCGGGGGGGTGGCAGTCAGAGCTGCACCCAGTACACTTAGCACCAGCCCCTATACGTGTTCCACTTCCAATAACGTGTTGGGTTAAAATATTAGAATACATTAAATTTGGTTGTTTTCTTGAGAGAATAGATGAAAACATGACTCGGTAAAACCATCAAACTGCATGTTATAAATAATGAGTGAATATTCATTTAGGGGCCATTAAAAATTGTCTTGCATTTGGCCCACGAGCCTGAGTTTGACGTGCCAGCATTAAAGTGACGTTGGAAATATGTTAGAAAGACAATTTGCCCTTTAAGTCGTTTTTAAAAAAGTTATTTGAGTATTTGAGAGCCATTCACCCCTTCTACATCTTTTCAAATGTTCTATTATTAGACTTTAGACTGTAGCTCCAGGAAAAACACTTTTTGACCTGATTTTGTGAACCACCTCTTCACTTTGTCCTAAACGTGATCTAGAAAACACTCATTTTGGAATTTCATGTTTAAGAATGTGACATACTTTGGAAAAACACACACATACTTAAGAGACCGGAATGTTGCGCCTCATCCAAAACTGTTGTGGCGAAAGGGGAAATCACAAAACTGCTTTTAGAACTAACCCTCCGTGGTTTGTCTCAGTAAAAGCTCGCAGCTGTAAAGATCATTTTCATTGTAAACATATACAAATAAATAATGAAAAACTTAAACGTTAAAAATGCACATAACGTCCTGAAGGTGGAATAACACACGGAATCTTAGAAAAAACAAAGTAAAACCTCACTGTGGAGACAGAATACTCTACTCTATCCTGATTGGGCAAGTCTGGGTGAAGCTGGGCCACAATAAAGGGTTATGTTTGTCACGCGTTTGTGTGTGTGCAAAATATATGAACATCAGAGCAGACGGATCTGTGCCCACGCAGAGATAGAATTGAAGCACTAAACTTGCACACGCTATTTTGACTTTGCTCACGCAGTTTAGCTCCCGGTTTGTTTTTTAACACTAACAGCAGAGAAAGAAAATGTTTGGGCTCGAAACAGACACAAACAGGAAAACCAAGAATCAAGTGTTTTTGGAAAGTTTCATTGTGCATTGTATCTGACTTTTTATAATCCTTAAGGTGTTATAATTTATTTTATTGAACATGATTTGTTATTATTCAATGTATTTCTATGACAAAATGAGTCCAGCTGCATTCAGGTTTCAATGTTTATGGTAAATAAATGCTGTGGTTGTTTTCTTGATAAATACAGCTTTAAAATGATGTATTACATGCCATATTTGCACAGACTCTCAGTGGGGGCCGCACAGTGTTCTAACTGACAGTGATTGCCCAGAGAGCTGCTGACGCCATGGCTGCCTCATCCTTTTGAGTGCTAGTGTAATTTAACACCTTTTTGATGCTGCAGAAGTTGATAAAATGAGAAGGATAGAAGAGGCGAAGAAGTGTGTGGCGTGAGTGCGTGGGGGCGCGCGGCCGTAACGGGAGCGCGCCGCAGGGTGACTGAGTGGTTCTCAGGAGGGTCTATGAGGACAGTGATAATTTCTACACATTTATGATCATTTCTGGACAGTGTCCATCCCTCTTCCTATGAACCAATTCCTCCTATCTGTTTGTTATTATTGAATTCCCTTTGTTTAAACCGTTTGATTCTCTAATCTGTAGTTGGTGAATCCATAACTGTCTAAAGTCCACTCAGACGACTGCTGCTGTGATTTAGGTCGATACATAAATGCATTGAATTGAACAGAGCGTGTATGAGTGACGTTGGTGGTTTAATGGGGCAACTGCCAGTCTTGTATTTTTGTATTTTTGACGTGAATAAAGCTCAGACTCTTTGAACAACAACGTGCAGAGCGAGAAAGAGAGAGCGAGAAAGAGACCCCTCTTCCTTCGGCCGTGGAGAGACAGATCTCCCCTGCGCCCTCGGACCACAACCCAGAGGTTTAACAGAGGAGAGAGAAGGAGGTATAGTCTTCCTGAAAATGTGGGACAGGCTTCTTTTTTGACAATGTTTAAATCCAGGTTAAAACCGTTCTATCTGTACACACAACTGAAGCCCTGAATCTTCAATCTTTTGAATGTACTCTTATTCATGATTTTAATGCCTTTTGTGATTGTATCTTGTTTTGAAGCACTCGGGGTGGCCTTGTGTATGAAATGTGCTATACCAATAAACTTGCTTTGCCTCGGACTCAGGTGAGGTGGAGGTCTGGTTGTCCGCAGCAGGACGGTAAACAGTCCCGTGTGTGTGTCTGTGTGTGGATAGGGTTGTACCTGGAGCGCGTTCCTCTGCGAATCCTCGGCCTCTAGCGCCACCTGCAGGTCACAGATGTAGTCGATGACGTGCTGCAGTATCTCCACTTGGCTCAGGCTCTTGTCCCGCGGGATGCTGGGTACAAGCGCTCTCAGGCGGCTGTAGCAGAGGCTCATGTCGCAGAGGGGCCCCGCACTGACCCGGGGCCCGATGGACAGACTCCGCTCAGACACACAGCACACGGGCCGATGGCAGCTCCGGAGGGCGCGGACCGGGCTCAGGGCTTTCATTCTGCGGCTGGGGTCCGGGTACAGGTCCGGGTGCAGGTCTGGGTCCAGGTCTGGGTTGGGGTCTAGCCTATAGGTCCAGGTCTGGGTGCAAGTCTGAGGGTAGTGGAGCTCAGTGACAGCAGAAGTCATCCGCTCCGTCCGTGCGCGGGGCTATATACCCTGCGCACCGAGACGTGATTGGTCCACACACACAGCCGCGGCCTCTGATTGGTCGAGAGCAGGGCACGAGGCGAGGAACTAGAGACAGCACCGGGAAGTCTGCGCCATTTTGTGTTTCCAGAAAACAGCAGAGAATCTGGTATTCTGATATCCTATTACTGATGACATGAACCCCGTTTCCACCAGCCATTACTCTACTCTACTCTACTCTGCTCTGCTCTGCTCTGCTCTGCTCTGCTCTGCTCTACTCTACTCTACTCTACTCTACTCTACTCTACTCTGCTCTGCTCTGCTCTGCTCTGCTCTGCTCTGCTCTACTCTACTCTACTCTACTCTACTCTACTCTACTCTACTCTGCTCTGCTCTGCTCTGCTCTGCTCTGCTCTGCTCTGCTCTGCTCTAACTGGTTGTATTTCGCTTTACGGCTGGTGGAAACACTCAAACAATTGGGGGAGAGTAGAGTAGAGTAAAGTAGAGTAGAGTAGAGTAGAGTAGTGTAGAGTAGGGTAGAGTACTGTAGAGTAGGGTAGAATAGAGTAGGGTTCAGTAGAGTAAATTAAGGTAGAGTAGAGTAGGGTAGAGTAGACTAGGGTAGAGTACTGCTCTGCTTACTGTACTCAGTAGACGTGTATCTCACAACATAGAGCAGGAGCAGAGTGTATCATAGAGCATCAGAGTGTATCATAGAGCAGCAGAGTGTATCATAGAGCATCAGAGTGTATCATAGAGCATCAGAGTGTATCATAGAGCATCAGAGTGTATCATAGAGCATCAGAGTGTATCATAGAGCAGCAGAGTGTATCATAGAGCATCAGAGTGTATCATAGAGCAGCAGAGTGTGTCATAGAGCAGCAGAGTGTATCATAGAGCAACAGAGTGTATCATAGAGCAGCAGAGTGTGTCATAGAGCAGCAGAGTGTGTCATAGAGCAACAGAGTGTATCATAGAGCAGCAGAGTGTGTCATAGAGCAGCAGAGTGTATCATAGAGCAGCAGAGTGTGTCATAGAGCAGCAGAGTGTATCATAGAGCAGCAGAGTGTGTCATAGAGCAGCAGTGTGTGTCATAGAGCAGCAGAGTGTGTCATAGAGCAACAGAGTGTATCATAGAGCGGCAGAGTGTGTCATAGAGCAGCAGAGTGTGTCATAGAGCAGCAGAGTGTGTCATAGAGCAGCAGAGTGTATCATAGAGCAGCAGAGTGTGTCATAGAGCAGCAGTGTGTGTCATAGAGCAGCAGTGTGTGTCATAGAGCAGCAGAGTGTATCATAGAGCAGCAGAGTGTGTCATAGAGCAGCAGTGTGTGTCATAGAGCAGCAGAGTGTGTCATAGAGCAACAGAGTGTATCATAGAGCAGCAGAGTGTATCATAGAGCAGCAGAGTGTGTCATAGAGCAGCAGAGTGTATCATAGAGCAGCAGTGTGTGTCATAGAGCAGCAGAGTGTATCATAGAGCAGCAGAGTGTGTCATAGAGCAGCAGAGTGTGTCATAGAGCAGCAGAGTGTATCATAGAGCAGCAGAGTGTGTCATAGAGCAGCAGTGTGTGTCATAGAGCAGCAGTGTGTGTCATAGAGCAGCAGAGTGTATCATAGAGCAGCAGAGTGTGTCATAGAGCAGCAGAGTGTGTCATAGAGCAGCAGTCTGTGTCATAGAGCAGCAGAGTGTGTCATAGAGCAGCAGAGTGTATCATAGAGCAGCAGAGTGTGTCATAGAGCAGCAGTGTGTGTCATAGAGCAGCTCTCTCTAGAGTCTCTGGTGATGCGCGTGCTCGGATCAGCAGAAAGAATGCGGAAGTGGGCGGGGCCAGAGTTCGTCACATTGTAAGAGTTTATTTCACAGAATGATCCAGTCACGGTTTGTTTGTTTGAACTGAACCAAAACTGCAGCGAAGTGAAGCAGGCGGAGACAGTGATGTTAGCCTGTGATGCTAATGGTGCTAATGATGCTAATGATCAGTTACAGGTCTGCGTTAAATAGAAAACATAAAACTCACGTTTGTTTTCTTGAGAGAATGATGTTTAAAATGAGGTATAACAGGCCATGGCCCATAGGAACATACATCAGTGCTGCAGGTGGATCATAAAATACAGAACACCTCCCAGAGCAGTCCATTTGGCGGCTTGCTTTGTGACTTTTCTGTTTCTATATGTAGCTTATTTCTATGTCATTATTTTTTATGAAATAACATTTATTTTTCTAAATAGAGCCGGGATCTTTGCGCACCAGAGCTCGGAAGTTTCTTCATTTTCTCTCTCGGGTTTCTTCCAGGTTTTTTCAGGCAGAACATACTCAGGATATGGTTTAAGTCAACGTTTACGTCACACATACGTCATACATGGAAAAACATACGTGTCACATCAAGAGACAATCAGAACATACGACATTGAAAGAACATAACGGACACACAATCATTGCAGATACACAATCGGGTCGTTGTGACCCACGCAAGGCCAGATCACTTTATCTAATCCCCATACTGGTGTCGTCCTGGACTGGTGCTTCTGAACTGGTCCTGGAATGGTCCTGGACGGGTTTTATACTGGTCCTGGACTGGTCCTGGACTGCAGAGACCCTGACAGACCCCTTAACAACAATGAAAAATGTGTCAAATGCAGAGACTTTTCTAAAACCCAAAGTTTTGTCTCCTGTAAAAGACAGAGACACTGTAAGAAGTGCTGCTGATTGGAACTAATGAAGTCGTGTGATGCGTTGAGTGTGACATCATCCCCTGTGAAGGAAGGCGTCTGATTGGTCAATCCTTACATGGCTCACACATGGATTTACAAAGATAATATACAATATGGGCGGCACGGTGGCTGAGTGGATAGCACTCTCGCCTCTCAGCAAGAAGGTCCTGGGTTCGAATCCCGGTCGGACCAGGGCCTTTCTGAGTGGAGTTTGCATGTTCTCCCCGTGTCTGCGTAGGTTTCCTCCGGGTACTCCGGTTTCCCCTACCACTAAAAATATGTCCAATAGTTCTAGCATGCGCCTCCTGTACTGGCGACCCCGCTCCCATCTCTGTGTGGAGTGAGAGACAAATGCCCAAAAATTAACAATTGTAAACCGCTTTGAGACTCAGATCTGCAGTGAAAAGGCGGTATATAAATAAAAACTTACTTACTTACTAATATAAACAGCAGGATCACAGAGAGGGATAAACCACAGAAGGTGAGACTGACTGAAGGCGAGAGTTTACTTTTAAATGTAAATGTCAGTGGGAGCCAAACTTCGTCCATGAGCGCTTCCCTGTTGGGCTTGGCTGAGCTGCAGTGTGGAGGGAGGATTGTGGTGCGGTGGTTCTCGTGGGAAAAGTGAAGCTCGGAGTGGATAATGGAGTCAGTGATGAACAGGTGGGGGAGGGGCACATGTGTTTTCAGGAGATAAGGAGTGAGTGATCAGAGTGAGCACTGAGGCGAGGAGCGCAGGGCATCTGCTCTCCTCCTCTCTCTTCTCCCACTCTCTCTGGTCTCCTTGTCTCTTCTCTTGTGTCCTCTCTCCTCCTCTCTCCGCTACTCCTCTTCGCTCTCTTCCTCGCTCTCCTCCTCCTCTTCGCTCTCTTCCTCGCTCTCCTCCTCCTCTTCTCTCTTATCCTCGGCTCATCTCCACTCTCCTCTACTCCTCTCTTCTCTTTCCTCTCCTCTGTCCTCTCCTCTGTCCTCTCTCCTCCTCTCCTCTCCTCTGTCCTCTCTCCTCCTCTCCTCTCCTCTGTCCTCTCTCCTCCTCTCCTCTCCTCTGTCCTCTCTCCTCCTCTCCTCTCCTCTGTCCTCTCTCCTCCTCTCCTCTCCTCTGTCCTCTGTCCTCCTCTCCTCTCCTCTGTCCTCTCTACTCCTCTTCTCTCCTCTCTGTTCTTATCCAGGCCGTTTCTCACACTGGTGTTTGCGGAGGAATGCGTCCGCGGGCCAGCTGCGTGTCCTCTCCCCGCACAGCTGTGTTGATCTAAGGCGCCAGTCCCAGACATGCAGGCGCCAGCAGCGCGCACACGTCATCCACGCGCGCCCACACGGCCCACCCCCACACGCGCACGCACGTCCCATTGGTCCGAGGAGCTGTCCATCAGAGGGAGAGGAGTGTGTGCAACTGTCAGCTCTGACAACACAACTTTCCACAAAGACAATGATGTCATCAGGATCCCAGAGTCCGGATTTCACCTCTGCACCAGGACTGAGGCTGTAGACCCAGGACTGAGGCCGTAGATCCAGGACTGAGGCTGTAGACCCAGGACTGAGGCTGTAGACCCAGGACTGAGGCTGTAGACCCAGGACTGAGGCTGTAGACCCAGGACTGAGGCCGTAGATCCAGGACTGAGGTTGTAGACCTAGGACTGAGGCTGTAGATCCAGGACTGAGGCTGTAGACCCAGGACTGAGGCTGTAGATCCAGGACTGAGGCTGTAGACCCAGGACTGAGGCTGTAGACCCAGGACTGAGGCCGTAGATCCAGGACTGAGGTTGTAGACCTAGGACTGAGGCCGTAGATCCAGGACTGAGGTTGTAGACCTAGGACTGAGGCTGTAGACCCAGGACTGAGGCTGTAGATCCAGGACTGAGACTGTAGATCCAGGACTGAGGCTGTAGATCCAGGACTGAGGCTGTAGATCCAGGACTGAGGCTGTAGATCCAGGACTGAGGCTGTAGATCCAGGACTGAGGTTGAAGACCTAGGACTGAGGCTGTAGACCCAGGACTGACTCCGTAGACCCCGGACTGAGTCCATAGACCCAGGACTGAGGCTGTAGACCCAGGACTGAGGCCATAGACCCAGGACTGAGTCCATAGACCCCGGACTGAGGCCATAGACCCAGGACTGAGTCCATAGACCCCGGACTGAGGCCATAGACCCAGGACTGAGGCCGTAGATCCAGGACTGAGGTTGTAGACCTAGGACTGAGGCCGTAGACCCAGGACTGAGGCTGTAGACCCAGGACTGAGGCTGTAGACCCAGGACTGAGGCTGTAGACCCAGGACTGAGGCTGTAGACCCAGGACTGAGGCTGTAGACCCAGGACTGAGGCTGGTGATGATGAAGATTGTTCCTGAACAGTTTTTAGTGATTTCTAAATCAACTCATTTTAACAGTTGCTCGGAGACAGAGTAAAAGTGTTTTGTGTTTTTTCGTGTTGTCACTCTGACTGGGACCCGCCATATCCAGGACCAGGACCAGAATCAGGATTAGGATCCGGACCAGGACCCGTGAACAGTGATTATTGAAATGCACATGTATCATGTGGCTCTCAGGCCCTGTTTATACTGAGACGCTGCGCAGACGTTTCCAGGCTATTAACAGAAACGACCTGGCTCCTAATGCAGATTTCTCAGCGCTCACATGAGGTTGAAAAACGATGTAGTTCTAGCGCCCGGCCAGTAGTGGGCAGAGAAACTTTACAACACTCACACGACCCCGAGCCCCGTGCCCAGCCCCCCTCTCGGCAGTGTACTCACTTCCTGTGCCAGACCCCCAGAGAGTACCAACATCATTCTGCATTTTAACAGCAGCTGTGAACATGGAAACTGAACCTAGAGCTTCGCGTGGTCTCGTTTGGACGAACGAAGGAGTAGAATTATCCTCTGTGCCGCGCTGGAAGCCCACGTAGCTAGTTAGTGTGACCGCCGCCATTGTTGTTGATGTTTGTTCTCCGCTACTGCGCATGTCCAAATTTACGTGCGGGAGCAGCGCGGAGGCGGGGGTAAGAGCAGAGGGAGATTTCACACCTTTCCCCTCTCGCGGGTGTGAAAAAGCTCCCTGCTGTGCAGCGTTTCTGAGTTGTCCCACTCTGCAGGCTGGATCTGAACACTTACGTTTTCACCTGAAACACAGTCTTTGTATGAACGGTTGGTAGAAACCGACATCCAACTATACCGTTTTACTGCCACATTGTCTCCGTGTAAACTCAGCCTCAGTGTCATGTGCCTCATACACACACACACACACACACACACTCAAACACACACATACACACTCAAACACAGACACACACACGTACACACAAACAGGCACACACAGAGACACACACGCACGTTGTGCACAAATACACACACACTCAAACACACACACACAGACACACACACACACACACACAGACACACACACACAGACACACACACACACACACACACACACACAGACACACACAGACACACACAGACACACACATACACGTTTTTGTTACCTGGTGGGTCCCTTTGACAGGGCCGTTCAGAATGGGACCCATAGACATAATCTTTTTTTACCAAGACTTTAAGTAATACAAAACAGTCAATAGAAACCAAACAACTATTTTAAAGGAATTTTATTTTAGATTTTGTTTTCGAATTGCAGTGATTCTATTTTTGACATAGAATTTCATGCCACTCCATGTCCGATGTCTAAGGTCATCTGGTGAGGCATTAATGCAGGCCAGGCAGTGAGACTTCCCAGGGACCTTTCCAGTCTGTATGAAAGGTGTCATGGTCTTCTCCACAGCCTTCACCTCAGATGCAGACCATGGCTTTCTTACACGTTCTAGGGAGAGAAATAAAAATATATTAGCAATATACACTCCCAGGGTGAGGACCAAGCAGCCTGGCTGTAATCCCCCACCTGGTACACTTACCAGAAGGGGCACTGCCACTACCATGGGGTGCATCTGGATGAATGGTTGAAGGTTCTCCGCTTGAAGTTTCTTTTAGCCCGTCCGTTTGTGAGAGGATCTCTACTGCTCTCCCTGTCGCACAGAAAATAAAAATACAAGTGGCCTTTAGGGGAAAAAAATCATACATATTTTAATAATATCAAGAATTACCTTCAGGCTCAATTTGTATCTGGTCGAGGCTCTTTCCTTCGAATTCCGTCACTCTTCCCTGCTCCATGGCCATCAACACTTTGCTGATTTTGGCCAGCTCCAGTGTCCCCTCTGGTAGTCTGTAATATTGCCTGTGGATGCGAATGTCATGGCCGAGGAAGTTGGCAAGTATGTCCATCTCATTCTCTTTCATATTGAGAACTGTAGACATAGTAGCTATGTGCTTTCTAAGTTTGGTTGAGGATAGCATCTCTGGATGCACCGCACCACATTCTTTGGCTACCTGGCGTAGGGAGTCTGATCCCCTGATGTGGGTGTCTGCGCCCGGGCGGGAAAAGAAGTATGGGTTATGGTCAGAGATGGAACAGGCCCTTCTGTTCTCCACCAGCACCTCCATCGAAGCAATCATTTCAGGAGTCAAAAGAACCGGCACTTTACGACTTCTTTTCCCTTTAATTTCAATGCGTTGAAAATGCTGACACAGCTTTTTCTCAAGTTGGGACAGTCCCAGAGCAATGTCAGAATGGATCCCAGTCTTACTTCTTAAGGTAAAGGCTGTCAGTGGCATCTTTGAAACCTCACCTTCCCTTCTTCGATTGAAAATGATGACCTCACAAAGAGTCAAAACTGCCAGTTTAGACCAATGCTTAGACGTTGGCTCACTTATTAGGGTTTGCACATATTCAGGTCGACATACCTCAATATGTGCATGCATGGCTCTAACGTCCTCAGTCAGAGGGAGCAGGTCCGGAGTGTTCCACTTGGCTTGCCGGAGGGTCTGTAGGGCAGCAGAAGAAACACAGACGTCCCACCTCTTCTCAAAAAGCAGCCGGCTTCGTTGGAGGTTTTTAATAAATAGTTCATCAACACAATGCTCCATTTTTGAGTCACATTCAAGAATATCTGCTAGCTTTCTGAGGCTATGGCCGAGTTTGAGGGCCAAGGATGGAGTCTTGTATTGATTTGTTTCCTCATCATATCCAGCCACAGACCTGACTGCATCAATCACATGGTTAAAGTTGGAAGGAATAAAGAAATCCTTAATTGTTTTCAGTTTCCCTGCGGTTTTTGCTTCGTTAATTAACCTACCGACTTCTCTCATTTTCTGCCTAATGTAATCATGCTTTGTCTTATCATGCCCGTGTTTTAAGTACAGGTGCTCTCCGAGTCTCAGAATCCCCTTTTCTGCTTTGACAACACCCGTGACCTCATCCTGATGCATTGCCGAAATTAAAGACCACAGCTTTTTGCTGATGCCCTCCGGTACAGGCTGGGCTAGGGAGCAGAGGGACTGGACCCTACTTCTACCTGGTTTAGCCTGGGCATCTTTCTGTGAAAGCCGGCACCTGGCCACATGCCTCCACAGCGACTTTCGCTTAAGCAATGCCCCACAGTCTATACAGTGCAAAAACTCACTGGATTTAACTGGGGAATTTGGCTGTTTAGCTGGGACTAAAGTTCCAATGCCGGCCTTTAAAACCTCAAAATTGTGCTCACGGTTTCCACTATTCCTGATCAAATCAAACTGAAGTTTACGTGCTTTAGATTTCACAGGTAGAGCCAATGCTCTGGCTACGTCACTTTCATTTCCATGTTTTCTAGTCAAATGACGGGACATTTTGTGGCAGGACATTGAACAGTAGAGGCAGAAGTGTCTCTTGCTGTATACTCGCCCCCCATTTTTCTTCTTTTGCAGCTGCATGATAACAATCTTATTTGCCTTTGGTTCGTCACTTTCCGAGTCTTGAAGAAAAGTGTTTTTGATTTTTCTTTTTCCATACTTTTTTACAGGTTTCTTCTTGACAGTTAAATCGTCAGAATCTGAGTCGACTTCATCAATTAGGGACTCTTGACTAAGCTGCACAAACAACAAATAATTTGTAATCATTCTATATAACAATTTGAAGTCATGACTTGTAGTCAGCACTTACCAGTGGTTTGTAAGCGTGCGCTTCAGTGTGCTCCTCCATGATTTCTTGCAGCCTAATGAACCACACACTTGCACCTTTTTCTAGCCTGACACCTGATTTCCTCTGTTGTGCTGCTCCATGATTGGCTCCAGCCTGCTGGACTGAAATTGCCCCAGTGTGCCCCTCCTTGATATCCCGCAACCCACCACCAGGGTTCCGACACATAACACACTTTTTTCAGGAAAGTAAACCTCCAGGGGTCCTTTCCATATTTTTACAGAGACTGCATAAGGACCGTTAGAAAAGCATTACCCATTGATTATTAAGCTTGGACCAGTGGGGTCCGGTGTTCGGGCCCCACCACGTAAAACCAGTCCCCATGACGTGAGTGGAATCTCAGGTTATGGAACCCACCAGGAGTTGAAAACAAGTGCACACACACAGACACACACACACACACACACACACACACACACACAGACACACACACACAGACACACACACACACATACACACAGACCAGGACCAGGATGCAGTCAGAGGCAGGTCCAGACTGAAGGCTCCTCTCAGACTGACCCTGATCCTGACCTCGCTCAATGATCTGAAAACAAACTGCTTAAACACAAGGACTCCCACTTTTCTCAAACAGAACTCCCAGAGCCGTCATTTTGACTGCTCCATTCAAACCAAAGAACTTCTGAGAAAATCCCAATTTCATTGAAAGTTTTTTACCGTTACTCACTTTTAATAAGTGCTAAAACTGGTCTTTATAACTGCAAATAAGAAATACAAAAGGCTAATGCTAACTTCTGACTGTAAACACTGTTGCTATGGTAACAAGCCTTATTCTCCTGTGGAAAATCAGCTAAAGGTAGATCCACTCATATTTCAGAAGTAAAAGATAATTTAATACAAAAACCAATGACAGAAATAAACTACATACAGATACAGAAAAAGGTATGAAGATCAAACATGTACATAATCGAAAAGCCGTCAAATGGACTGCCCCGGGAGTTCTAGTGTTAAAGCAACCAACGAACAGGTGCATGTAGTGAACATGTGTACATGCTTTCTCTTTCCTCTCCTCTTTTATTTATTCTCACACAAATTACACTATATAAGTTTGATGTCATCCACTCACTCCCCCGGAAACCTAGCACCTGGAGCACCTGGAGGAAACCTATGCACATACAGAAAGAAAATGCAAACCCAGGACCTGTATCTTTGTTTTTTGGAACTGACTTTTATGTGCTTTGTGATCCTGGTCTGTAAAAGGCGCTATACAAATAAACTTAACTTACTAACCGTTGCGCCGCTATGCTAACATAGGCACAAATTATTTAGATTTTCATTTGAAAGTTTTGACATATTTTCAATTAGATAAAACACGACTATATAGTGAAAATGTATGAAAATAAAAACAAATTTGTCAAAATGTATCTTTGATCACATCTCGACTGAGCCTTAAAGGAGCAGTGGGTCAAAATGTGGCCAAAAGTGGTACTGCAGCCTCTCCCACTCTCCCTGACTCAGGTTGCCAGATATGCAGACGAATCCAGCTGGGACCATAACAGCTGAATAGACAAGAGTTTAGTCAACAACAAATCTATAACCAACACCTTTTTCACAAAGATAGAAATCCTGGTTTTATTCCTTGTTTTGTCAGAATCATAACAACACCTTTATTAGTTCTGCGCCACATGGTACTTTACCAGTGAGATTAGCTCCACATGGTGAGTTCTGGCGCCCGGATCACAGACTTTCTGATTGGTGAAACGGTGGAGGGCGGGACATCGAAATGAAAACAATAACAAGATTTAGAGGCTGGAAAACACATTTTTAAATCCTAATATCTCTGAACAACTGTTATCGGTTAAAGAAGTATTGGAAAGATCAGGGCCCTTTAATGATGACTTGACATAAAATTATTACATATTGCTACTTTAACACAAGATTTACCTATGGGAATTGATTTTGTTTAACAAATATACAAGAAATGTCTCCCTTGGAATGAGAAGATAAAGCAACAGTTCTTGAAATAAAACTAAATGACTCTTGTTTTAACACAGTCAAGATGAACTCAACTTAAGATAAAAAAAACAACACTTGATTTAAGCAATTATCACTTCATATTTGATCATTTTTTTGCAGTGTAGTGACTCCCAGGGTTCTTTCATACTGTGTTGAAAGTGCCTTTTCAATTTGTGTCTGAAAAAGTAGATCTAAAGATTTGGCCGAGGTCAGGAGCCAGAGACATGAACTTTAATACACAACACAAGAAACTCAATGATGAAAACACAGGGACTTTGGTCCACGGAAGTCCACATAAGTCCACATAAGTCCACAGAAGTCCACAGAAGTCCACAGAAGTCCACAGAAGTCCACAGAAGTCCACAGAAGTCCAGAGAAGTCCAGAGAAGTCCACAGAAGTCCACAGAAGTCCACAGAAGTCCACAGAAGTCCACAGAAGTCCACAGAAGTCCAGAGAAGTCCACAGAAGTCCACAGAAGTCCACAGAAGTCCACAGAAGTCCACAGAAGTCCAGAAAGGTTGATCCATTGATGGGATCTACCATCGAGAAGGAGGGGCCCGGGCAGTGGTGCAACAAAGATAATTGATGAAAGTGTTTTGATATTTGTTTTTCAGGAGTGTTTTGAGGATGACGTCTCCGTGGTGGTTCCCAGAGGAGAGAAGAGCTCGGGGACCAGAGCAGCCCCCCCCCCGACCTCCTCCCCCCAGCTCCACGGCCTTGCATACTTCACTGCAGTCACATTCTACTCATTACTGCGTACACATGCTACACATGCTTCACATACACAGACTGTTCAGATGGACAATGCTAACATAGACTGTTCAGATGGACAATGCTAACATAGACTGTTCAGATGGACAATGCTAACACAGACTGTTCAGATGGACAATGCTAACACAGACTGTTCAGATGGACAATGCTAACACAGACTGTTTACAGATGGACAATGCTAACACAGACTGTATACAGACCAGTGTGGGCGGGTCCCAGCTCAAAAGTGTCCAAAATGAATTTGGAAAATGTCCAAAGCTCCGTTCCACATGTGTGTCAATGCTGAGTGTTCTGGACCACTCTAGTTTACTCACTGTGAATTTTTGAAGTCACTCGTTTAAATTAATGGAGCTCGTGCAGCTGACACATGCACAGATGTGTTTTTTCACATTTTCCAGCCCCCGCGGCCATTTTGAATCACTCCATGAGAGCCCAGTTTTTGGCCCATGAGTTAGAACGGTGGAGATAGGCCGTTAATATTTACAGTCTATGGCTAATACACACATCAGTAGATTATTTTTCTTTTCAAACGGCTGCTGTGCACTTCTTCCTGCAGCGTCTGCCAAACGGCCGGGACAAACTAATCGGATTACTCAGTACAAAATTCTAAAGATTCTAAGAAAAATCAGATTAGAGTTCAAAAGAAATTCTGAAGAAAATCAGATTAGAGCAATTGCTTCATTTCAAAATAAGTCGCTACAAACAAACTTATCTTTCCACTTATCCTTCTTGACATTTAACTCGATTCTAACTCAGTCTAAAGCTCTAACTTTAATATAGAAACTGAACAGAAATCTGTAGCCGCAGCTGCCCTGGGGCACACTGACAGAAACGAGTAGCAGCAACCAGTCTGTGTGCCATCAGCCCCTCCCACCACCACCAACCATTCTCACACACACACACACACACACACACACACACACACAATGGTGGATGGTGTTTGGGTGGTGTTGGTGCTGCATGGTGTTGGGGTTGATGGTGGTGCATGGTGTTGGGGTTGATGGTTGATGGTGCTGCATGGTGTTGGGGTTGATGATGGATGGTGTTTGGGTGGTGTTGGTGCTGCATGGTGTTGGGGTTGATGATGGATGGTGTTTGGGTGGTGTTGGTGCTGCATGGTGTTGGGGTTGATGGTGGATAGTGCTGCATGGTGAGGGGTTGATGGTTGATGGTGCTGCATGGTGTTGATGGTTGATGGTGCTGCATGGTGCTCGGTGCAGAATAGAGAAGGACAGGAAGTGTGCGCAAAAGCCTGAGGTTGGAAATTAGACTGAGGGAGTTTCCTCTGTGCGCTGCTGTTTCCATCCTGCGACATCACACTCATTCTAATAGCACCTGCTGCAGTCTGCACAAACCTGCCGAGTTTATTTATATAACACAGGTCACACACAAGCAACTCAAAGAAAAGACATTCATAAATAATCCCTGTGCATTACAAAGACCAGAGAGAAATCATTCAGTTGTTGCAGAAACAGAACTGTTTTTAACCTGGATTTTTAGCCTGTCTCACATTTTCAGGAAGACTGTTCTTGGTTTTAGCTGCATAAATCTGAAATGCTGTATCCACATGATTAGTCCTCACTCTGGGACCAGCAGGAGGCCAGACCCTGTGCTTCTCAGACTCCCAGCAGGAGGCCAGTCCTTGTGCTCCTCAGAGTCCCAGCAGGAGGCCAGTCCCTGTGCTCCTCAGAGTCCCAGCAGGAGGCCAGTCCCTGTGCTCCTCAGAGTCCCAGCAGGAGGCCAGTCCCTGTGCTCCTCAGAGTCCCAGCAGGAGGCCAGTCCCTGTGCTCCTCAGAGTCCCAGCAGGAGGCCAGTCCCTGTGCTCCTCAGAGTCCCAGCAGGAGGCCAGTCCCTGTGCTCCTCAGAGGCCGAGTTGGTTCATATGGCACTAACATGTCACAGATTTACTTTAGTACAAGGCTTAAAAGTCCATTCTCTGAGCCACAGGAAGCAGAGACTTGGGGTACCTAACTTTTAAACCACAAGAAATATACAAATAAATCAAACTTGGTGCTAAATCTCTCACAGCAGATTGTTGTGATGTCACGTGTTGTCTCATGGGCAGCAGTGGGTCAGTTGGTAGAGTGTGTGTCCTCTGCGTGTGAATCCTGCTTCTAACATAAACATCATTTATCGTCATCAAGATCAGCTTAGACCGAACCGCGAGAAACAGACCCTGACTCGGCCAATCAGCTCCCAGCTCCAGCCAGAAGTGTTAAACCGTGATTCATGGGGCTCTTTCTTACAAAAAATAACATGATTTCCACCAGCCCTTCTTGAACTCTGAACTCGGTTTCCTCCAGGTGCTCCGGTTTGCCCTACCATTAAAAACACACAACACAGAAGAGCATCAACAGCAGGATATGGGCCCCTGTTGTTGTACAGAGGCCCTAGTGGCAGTGACAAATGGGTCAAATGCAGAGAACACACTTCCCTGCATCTTAAAATCTTAAACACTAATATAATAAATGTATTGATGCTCACTCTGTTCTGTGACGTTAACATTTGGACATAGAGACGTTGAGAAGTGCTGCTCAGGAGATCAACATGAGACCTGTTCATTCTGACCCGTGTCTCTGGCAGTCCTGTTTTTCGCAGTGTGACAGCGCCCTCTTGTGGTCGTCCTCTGCAGCTTCAGAAGCAGTGGAGGCCCAAGGCTGAGCTGATGCTTCCTGTCGGTTAGAGTCCAAACGTGAGAGAATGAAACCAGGTCTGTTCCGTGACGTGAGTGCTTGGAATGTCTTGGCATTCATCCATCTATCCGTTTTCTTCCACTTTATCCATATCCGGGTGGCGGAGGCAGCGGTCTGAGCAGAGGCGCCCAGACTTACCTCTCCACACATACTTCCTGCTGCTCTGCAAAATGTACTTTTGCGATGATGACCTTTGAGGACTACTCGGTCTTCCTCTAGCCCCCAGTCCTGCTTCTGCCTCTCTGTCCTCTGCAGCTTTATTTTACAGTGTGTGCACGGCTTTTGAGAGCTGCAGCAGCACTCAGACCTGCAACCAACAGCTTTGATACCTCAGGTCTCTCTCTCTCTCTCGTTGGTCTCTCTCTTTGGTCTCTATCTGGTCTCTCTCTGGTCTCTCTCCCTCTCTCTTTGGTCTCTCTTTTTGGTCTCTTTCTCTGGTCTTTCTCAGGTCTCTCTCTTTGGTCTCTATCTGGTCTTTCTCTGGTCTCTCTTTAGTGTCTGCTACTGAGAGGATTTATTGTAGGTTATTTTTAGAACACATCACACCGAAATGTTTTTAAGTGTTTTCATTGTTTTCAGAAAGACTGACATTTTGCACAATGAAAACAAAGATGTGATGGTCTGATATATATAAAACAATGATTTCATCTGATCTGAAGCATAAGCCAGAATTTGTAGTGTTGTCATTATATAAAATTGAATGAATTAGTAAATAGAAAAAAAAGAAAAATGTATAAACAATTTAATAAAATACCCTCAGAACTTACATAAACAGTCATGTTTAAAGGGACATTAAAGACCAGCGATTTTCTTTCGTCTTGTAATAATGTCTACTTCAATGTTTTGTCCTTCAGGTTAATTTAGAAGTTGTTGAGTAGCTAAGTGTTTTGGCAGTTACCAGGTTGTTGAGTTTTGATAATAATAATGCAATTTTTTGGACACTCAAAGACATGGCATTATTCTCTCACTCCAAACACAGTAATGATAAACTACTAGTGTTGCCACAGCTGCCCCGGGGCTTAGTGACCAGTCTGTGACATCAGCCCCTCCAACCACCACCAACCATTCACACACACACCAGACTCATTCTAATGTGGGGGAAGTGTCTTGCCTCACGACACAACCACAGTTTGGTACTTTACAGCCGCAGCCGCCCCACTGTGGCACCTGCTGTTCCCAGAGGTCTCCCATCACAGCACTAACCAGGCCCTGCCCTGACAGGATTTGGCTTTCACCTGCAGGTATGGCTACAAAGTAGATGTCAGTGGCTAAACGTTAGCAGGTTGTTGAGTGTAAGTGCTAAACCATTTATCTATAAAAACACCTGGAGAGAGTATTATTAGCTTATAGCTGTCCCACCCACGGGCACAGGGGGCGCTGTGGTACTGCAGACTAAATTCACGCGGGCTGCCCCAAAAAAGGGTATGTCCCACTAAGCAAGCCGACGTTGAATCAACGTAATTTGAACGTCGTTGTCCGACGTAGAATATAGGTCACTGGTGGGTGCAGAATGAAAGTTTTCTCGACGTCGTTTCCCGACGTCACTTCAACCTCCAAATGTTACGTTGATGGCACGTCAATTCAAGGTTTGAATGTGGTACGGAACCGGTCGGGTCTGACGTCCTATCAACGTCTCATATGACCAAAATATTGCCTTCATATGACGTTCGTTTTCCGTTGTTCCAACTAAGCAAGCAGATGTCAAAACTATGTCATTTCAACGTCATCTGGACGTTATCTGGACGTTCAAATGACGTCGCGGCCACTTCATTCAAGGTTGCAATGTGGTACAGAACCGGTCGGGTCCGACGTCCTCTCGACGTCTTATATGACCAAAATATTGACGTTTATATGACGTCCATTTACAGTCCTATTGACATACTTAACCTCTGCAGAATCACTCACTGGTCGAGACATACTTTTTGCAATAGGCAAGGCAAGTTTATTTGTATAGCACAGTCAAAACAAAAGGAAACTCAAAGCACTGAACAAAAGATAGAAACAATCAAACAAGGCATTACAATTATAAATATTGACTGTAAATTAAAAAGAAACAAATAAAATCTCTCATAAAATCTCTCAGTTGAAGCAGAAACAGAAGTGTTTTAAACCTGGATTTTAACATTGTCAAAGAAGAAGCCTGTCTCACATTTCCAGGAAGACCGTTCCAGATTTTAGCCTTGTGAATCTGAAATGCAGCTTTATCATGTTTAGTTCTGACTCTGGGCAATAAACGATAAACACAGCATTCAAAAATCATTAGAACAACTGTAGTAGAAGGATATCAGTCATTATTGCAAATGGAGCTGCATTAAAAATCATGTTTCTCTACATCAAAGTACAAGTTAAAGCACACAGGGCACAGTGTTATGAACACTACTGTACTGAACAGTTCATGCCAAAGTAAAAAAACATGATTGTAGCGCCTATGTTTGGATCAGTATTAAAACAGGCACAAGCTACACTCTAGGTTCCCCAGATGTAAAAACACAATCTGAAAGGCAGAAGAATGCATTTATTGAATGTTGAGGTTCCAACATGTGTCCTCTCTTGGTCTTCAGTCTCTCATCACAAGGTCCAAGCACAGCACCTGAAAATGTGGAACATGTTTAGTTTCAACATAATGTGGCAAAGTGATATAACAACACATAACTTTCTATTAATGCCTCAAACCACTCGATCCATCACCATGTGATACAAACCTTGGCACTGCACTAGCTCGAGACACTGGAAGACACTCCGTCTGAGAAACTTGGGATAAGGCTTTGGTCATTGGAGTAATTCCATGTAAAAAACAATTGCAAATGTGCATTTGTTTTGCACATGGACACAAATGAGCCCTGAAAGCTACTTACCCTGTATTACTCTACACATGTTGCATTTCCGAGGGGGCATTTTCCCCTTTTCCCTCATCTTGAGTGAGTTGCTGAACAATCTGAGAAAAAGATGGATGTTTTCAAAGAGAATACACCAAATAATGGTTTATTCTAAAAACAACATATTAATACAGAACAACAATCAATGTGTGAGAGTGTGATTCTTACCTTTGAACACCTTCAACACAGTCTGACACCTGTAAGACTCAAACACACATGACACATTAGGAATACACACAGAACATTAGTTATTGCAACAATCATGAAATTATACTCTATGGATTTCACAATAATTGACTGCATTAGCAAAGGTAAATGTATTTTAATTAACATATGGCTGGTTTTAAAGTTTATAAGAAAAAGTAAGAAATTGAATAGAGTTGCAAGCGCTAGTTAGCTTGCTACCAGCAGATGAATGGATATTTAATATTTGCAGCTAACAATAACAAAAATAACAACTGTAGTGGCTCATTTAAACAGCCACAGTGAGAAGAAGTGAAAGTCTCTGACATTGAAGACCTGGGAAGACATTAAATCAATTTATTAAACAAAGCAATACATGAACATTAAACTCTCTTTCTGCAGCAGGTAACATCTGTGTGCTCCTATGGTCCCACATGGTCCCACATGGTCCCACACCTGAACTCAACTCCAACTGATGACATCACAGGTGTCTAAATGATGGGAGTGTCCCAAATATTAAAGCTGATCTCCCTGTTTTTAAACTTAGTTTACTAAGTACTGTTGTCTTTTTGCAGTTTATAAACCATTGTGAAATATACAGTAACTTTACATTTTAGAATTGAATTATTATTTTAAAACTCAAGAATCTTAACCTTTTTTAACACATACTTTGTTGGACAGTCTAACCTAAGAATTCTAATGTGTTAAAAATAGTTTGAAATATGAAAAACAATATCATATTTTAAACTTTAACTTAAAAACTAAAAAAAGGTGTCTCCCTTTCAGCTGAGCAGTGCCAGCCGTTATTATTATAGATTCATGCACTGGCAATTCAAAATACAGATAATATACAAAATATACTTAACAAAATCCACGTATACGTGAGAAAACAACTTACTTTCTGTCTCCAACTATTTTCAATGTGGAAATGATACATCTATATCTAAAAACTGTGCAGACTGTGTACTTACTAGAGAGGATGATTCCAAGTAAATAAAGCAGGGCAGCGACAGAGGTACAGATTCAACGTCATATATCAACGTCTGGGAAGGCATTGCCTTACGTCCAGATGCACACCTTACGTCGTTTAGACGTGGAAAACAGGTCCTCGACCGAGCGACTCACGTGTCAGGCTGTAAAGTTATAAGTTATACTTGCGCGGCGCATAAGTGTGCGTCGGTTGTTTAGGGTGTTATCTATTATTTTTTCACAGTAGTCAGAGAAAATGTCTGGCCGTGGTGTAGCGGTTGCGTAATGAGACTTCAGTCGCAACGACGCAGGTTCAAATCCCCGTCGGAAAACTTTTGACTTTTCACTTTTTAGCGAACAATTTTTCTGTTTGGTTAAAAACGAATAAACACTCAACATAAGATTATGTAGTGGCTAATAATAAAACTTGTGAACCCATGCATTTGCATAAAATCTCAAGTGCTCACCCCTTATTTGCAAACTTGAGATTGTTAGCACAACAAATGCATACATTCACAAGTTTTATTATTAGCCACTACGTAATCCTATGTTGAGTGTTTATTAGTCTTTAACCAAACAGGAAAAAAATGTTCGTTAAAAATCAAAACAAATATATAAAGATAATAATACACACACGTGGGCTCGAACCCACGTAACCAAGACTGCACACGTTTGCTTAACCACTACACTACCGTCAGGTACACTTAGGTTGCTTCACAGCCTATATATTGTATTGCTAGATCAAGACGTACTGCGTCGGTCGGCCGATGACCTGTTTTCGACGTCTAGGGGAGGTCGGGATTGAACGTCATATCCACGTATATGGGAGGTCATTGTTTTACGTCCAGATGCGCACCTTGCACAGACGTCGTTTGGACGTAAATAAAAGGTCACGACCGACCGACGCGATATTGACGTGATCTGGAGGTTGAGTGGACGTCGGATGTTTAGTGGGGTGGGTC